TATTTTGACTTGAATAGGTAGTAGGTAGTAATCAGTAGTATGCCGAGTTTACAAGCGATCGATGACGGAGCTTGCATAGATTAAACGTATCTCCATTTGATGGTTAAGCCGTACATAGTTCAGTGAGGGGCCGACAAGAAAGGAGACGGAAAGAATACGCCCCTATTCGACTTCCATTCAGAATTGTAAGAGCATTTTGAACGCGTATGTGGCCTTAATAATGACTTGTAGTGGCCAGCCGATGTACTAATCAGTGTTTTCATACTTCCAGACGAGTCCGGTACCGGATAGCCGACCTCGCAGTTATGGCGGCTTGGTTTTCCTAGGTAGATATTAGAGATTCAAGCCCAGTACAATCGATGCATTGCCACTTTTCGCTGTCCCTCGTCTTTCCGAACCTTCCCACCTTGCCTGTTCGAGAAGCAGCAGCTGAAATAAATCTTCCTCCATCGAAGCTTTGAAGCGTTCATGTTCTACCACATAATTTGTTTTTAAATTATTCCACGCCTTTCAGATACCGGTTCAGTAAAGGAAAAATCACGATTGACGGATTCATTTGATATGGAGGATTCATTGTCTGATGATTTGGATCTCTTACCACCACTGCCTGGAGCTCCCAGTACTAATCATAGTTGGCTAAACAAGTTCCACAGATTAAACTGTTGTAATCCAAGAATACCGAGCAAATGCTCTATCATGTAATTGTATATTTCCCATTTGTTTCATACTTACATCAAAGTAGTGATCAAGTTTTACCACTACTTTTTACTCTTTTCGGTTATGGAATGTTCCGAAAGGAGACCGTGCCGTCGATGCTTTCTTGCCTTTTCATTTCTCGTTCATCATTGAATCGAACTGGATATACTTTTTTAACGGCAGTCATACTTTACAGTTCTGTCGACACGATGCGAAGTATGAACGCGCGCATAGATACAGTGGTCGCTACTCTCTCAAATATTGATCTAGTCCTTCGAATCGATATTTGGAATAACTAGCCTTTCTAAGATCTAGTACTGACAATCTCCGATTATGTACGGGTTATATTGGTCTCACACAAATGCCAGATCTCCTTGATATCGACCGATCTCATTGTCGTCCGTTTTTGATTTGGTCGTTTTCGCATTCTACATACTTTATAATATATTAGTTTTATTTTGATATTATTTATCGTCATCAATAAATTCATGCTATTTCGTCTTTCGATTTCGTTCTGACGAAGACCATCTCCAGTAGGCCCGAGATCTTAGGCTTGACCAGGTCTTTCAGAATTCGTGGACTTATGTGGCCCTGAAAAAAACCAGGATTATCCATTTGATCCTTCTTCTCGTAACGGCAAAAGGCGTGTGTCCTCGATAAGGCGTATGGTATCTGGGGTATTAGGGTCCTGTGTGATGGAGAAGGATGGGAGAGAGTCGGAAAGAGGAGGAAGAGAAGGGAAGAAGAGAAGTCGTATTCACCTTCAACTCGCACTTACGAGCAGCTGACGAAGCGGTAATATGATTTCTAGCTCAGCTCGTAGGCAATGGTGCAGCATTCCAAGTGGCCTAACTGTTAAGGTCCGTTTTTCCGTCAGAGCAACAGGGATTCGTTGCCGTTTCAATCCACTGTTTTCTCTCGAATTTTCTCTACCGCCGGAAAAGCCTAGAGGTCGAAAACTGAACAGACAAACTCTGACTCTATCGAATACTTGTTGTATGCTTGAAAAACTGCGGTCCGAAGAGGGCCGCGCCACATCTACGAGTGTGCAGATCCGTTGTAATCATATCAGTTTGTTCTCTACTCGCCCCATCACCGGCCGTACATTTCTCTGCCCCTTCTCATCTAGAGAACACCATCAAGAGGAACCAGCACATGATAGGAAGCAGACACAGAACAGATGTGACGGCCAGCGACCTGCCATCCAAGGCACAACTGCTCACGGGGAAAGATTTGAAC